ACGTGGTCAAGCAGAAGGACTGCGCAAGTGTTGCGTAGGTTGCATAGGCTTGGGGCTGGGTGCTTCGCTTCAAGATGATCAAGATGTTGGTCCTGTCAGACCTTGAAGTTGAAGTTGTTGGCTGGGTACCCTGCGCCCGCACTCTAACCGGGGAGCAATGAGGCTGCAAGCCTCCAAGGGCGGCGCTCTCTGGCTCTAGGGCATTCAAAAATGTTTAGCACGTCAAGTAAACTAGCAGGGGCATGACTGACTTGATAGGAGGGAATTTCGGGCCGGCCTTTGGGATTGGAAAGAAAATACGTGAACGGTGAACATATACAGATACAACATGTCAGTTTTGAGCAGTATTTGGTTAGGCGGCGTTAGGCGCTGCGGGTATACAGGGAAAGTATATCCCGATATACCAGACCAACCTAACAAACAAATTGATTCTGCGCAGCTTTGGAAGGAAGGTGGCCAGCCGGAAGCATCCGATCCCTCAGCTGAAGTGGCCGAGGAGGACCATGAAAGTGTTGTGTAGGCTGCAAGGCTTGGGGCTGGGTGCTTCAAGACGTTGTTGGACCTTGGGTTGAGGGTTTTTGACTGGGTCCCCTGGCCCTGCACCCGCGCCCAAACCCCAGCACTGAGGCTCCAAGGGCTTCGATTTCTGAGACTCTCTGGGGCTCCAGGGGGCCCAAAAAAAACAGATCCTTGGAAGGAAAGTGGCAAGCCGGCAGGCTCCGATCCGCCAGCTGAGGTGGCCGAGCAGAAGGACAGTGACAGTGTTGCGTAGGCTGCGTAGGCTGCGTAGGCTGCGCTTCAAGATGTTGTTGGACCTTGGGTTCAGGTTGACTGGGTCCCCTGGCCCTGCGCCCGCACCCAAACCCCAGCAATGAGGCTCCAAGGGCTTCGATTTGGGGCTCCAGGGACCCCAAAAAAAAACAGATCCTTGGAAGGAAAGTGGCAAGCCGGCAGGCTGCGATCCGCCAGCTGAGGTGGGCGAGCAGAAGGACAGTGACAGTGTTGCGTAGGCTGCGTAGGCTGCGTAGGCTTGGGGCTGGGTGCTTCAAGATGTTGTTGGGCCTTGGGTTGAGGGTTTTTGACTGGGTCCCCTGACCCTGCGCCCGCACCCAAACCCCAGCACTGAGGCTCCAAGGGCTTCGATTTTTGAGACTCTCTGGGGCTCTAGGGGGCCCTTAAAAAAAACAGATCCTTGGAAGGAAAGTGGCAAGCCGGCAGGCTCCGATCCGCCAGCTGAGGTGGCCGAGCAGAAGGACAGTGACAGTGTTGTGTAGGCTGCGTAGGCTTGGGGCTGGGTGCTTCGTTTCAAGATGTTGGTTCTGCCAAGTAACTCTTTTGGAATTTGGGTTGAGGTTTTTAGCGGAATCCCCTTCGCCCGCGCCCAAGACTCTCAAACTCAAACCTAGCCCGAGCACTGAGGCTGTAAGGGCTCTTTGTTTTTGAGGTTCAGCGGCAGGGGACTCAAAAATGACCCCTCACTGTAAACTAAAACCTCCCTCCCCTTGCAATCATTATCCCCTTAACCCCCCCCCCCCCCCCCCGTGCAATCATTTCCTGCCTTGAGGGGGCTGCTCATACCCGCCCCCCCTTTGCAAAATTCCAGGGACTGTTTTCGGTAACGGCTTCGCCCGCTCGCAGTCATAGCCAATTCCAGGGACTGTTTTCGGTAACGGCTTCGCCCGCTCGCAGTCATAGCCAATTCCAGGGACTGTTTTCGGTAACGGCTTCGCCCGCTCGCAGTCATAGCCAATTCCAGGGACTGTTTTCGGTAACGGCTTCGCCCGCTCGCAGTCATAGCAAATTCCAGGGGCTGTTTTCGGTAACGGCTTTGCCCGCTCATAGCAAATTCCAGGGACTGTTTTCGGTAACGGCTTCGCCCGCTCGCAGTCATAGCAAATTCCAGGGATTGGGGTGGGCATGTCTTCACATTATTGCGTTCAGCTGACCCGTGCTACACCCTAAACCCTAAACCCTAAACCCTAAACCCTAAACCCTCAAGAGCCTGTTTTCGGTAACGGCTTCGCCCGCTCGCAGTCATAGCCAATTCCAGGGACTGTTTTCGGTAACGCCTTCGCCCGCTCGCAGTCATAGCAAATTTCGGGGACTGTTTTCGGTAACGGCTTCGCCCGCTCGCAGTCGTAGCAAATTCCAGGGACTGTTTTCGGTAGCGGCTTCGCCCGCTCGCAGTCATAGCAAATTCCAGGGACTGTCTTCGGTAACGGCTTCGCCCGCGGACTGTTTTCGGTAACGGTTTCGCCCGTTTGCAGTCATAGCAAATTTCAGGGACTGTTTTCGGTAACGGCTTCGCCCGCTCGCAGTCATAGCAAAATTCCAGGCACTGTTTTCGGTAAGGGCTTCGCCCGCTCGCAGTCGTATCAAGTTCCAAAGCGGATATGATTGCAGGATTTTTGCAAGCATTAACCCCCCGTACCACCCTGCAATCTTTTTTAAGGTAGCGGTGATACTCAAAAGAATTGATACGCAGCGTCTGTAAACTGTAAACCCTAAACCTAGAAGCCCTATAAACCTAATCCCTGAAATTGTTGCCCTGTATCCTGTGGCCCCTCTGTAGGACCACGACAAGGATGTTCAGATGCCAGCGGACTCAGCGGACGGCATGAAGGACTCGATGTTGTGTAGGCTCGCTTGACACCGGAGTTTTGGTTAATTGTGAGCCGTGGGGTTTTTCACAATGTTGAGCAACGGGCTGCCTCATACCTGATACGAAAAACATGTATCCAATGAAATCTGTCCCGCGAAGCAGGGTGCTACTTAGACTTGAACCTGCTCGGATGCTCGGTCCCAAAAAGCGGGGTGCTAATTTAACACGCTGGTTTCCCAAAATACGCCGGGCGCTAGTTGAACATGCTGGTTTCCCCAAGAGCAGGGTGCTGGTTGAACACGCTCGGTCCCCATTCCTCCCTGAACCCTATAGGCGCTAAACCCTATAAACCTGCCGCAAATTATCCATAAGCCTGCTTTCCTTATCGCTCAGGCTTAGCGCTGTTCTAGTGCGCAGCTCTCCTTGCACGTAACATGATTCAACCATGAGTGCTGAGTGAGTCAGTGGTCCGCCACCACTAAACCCTAATCAGTCTAAATTCGAAAACCCTAAACCTTCTAAGCAGAAGGAGACCAGAGGCAGCTCCAGAGGCAGCTCCAGCAGCAGCGTGCCTGAGTCACAGGCCAAGCGCCTGAAGCTCTCGAGGTCCGCGAAGGCCAAAGCGTCAGCTGCCGACTCCAAGCAGTTGTCGGAGTTTTTCATTCCCAAGTAGCAGCTCGAGATCTGCCGTTATGAGACCGCAAGTCCCAGAAACCTGAAATTCCTTTTCTTATTGCGCTCATGATCGCAGGCTGAATAGAAGTCGGGCCCGGTCCGGTCGGGCTAACCAAACAGCTTGGGGGGGTTTAGTGTTTCGGGCTCAGGCTCAGACTGAGCGCCTTCACTAGAGTTTCAGGCAATGGGAACAGATCTCTTGAGCTTTGAGCTTAGAGCCAAGACGGCTCACATGTCACACGAGACCCTCAGAGCGTGCCCGTGCCGCCGAGAAATTGTCATGAAGGACCCTGCAGGCAGCAGCAGGGAACGCATTCTTTATATACATACTACAGACCCTGTAACCCACGTAAGGCGCAACCGTACCAAGCAAGAGTAATAGAATGGGAGCTGCGTGTGATGTGCCAATTTTCGCAATCTGCGTGCAACGCCCAGGCCAGCGTGGCATGAGAGCAGGGTGGGAGTAACAAGCATGAAAGACCGTGAGACTGAGAGCGAGAGTGAAAGTGACAACAAAGCGACTGCGAGAGCGGAGACGCTAAGATTTGTTATTTTCGGCTTTTATCAAAGTGCGCTTGCGTGGCGCCTTTCAAAATCGATTTTGTCTAGCCACAGTTAACTCCAAGGGAGACAGGGCTATCTGAAGCTCGTGGAGCTACAACAAGGTCCGCAGAAGACATACATATCGGAGTTTGGGAGTGTGGGCCCCAAGCCTTCTGCTAATTGAAAATGCTCTTGGGGATCCCCGAGCCGGCCGGATATTACAATTCTCACCACTTTTACACATGTGACCTTTACATGATTCTATGTGTTAGATTCAGCGCAAATACCTTTTCATAACTTTTTGGCAGAATGCTGCCTTCCCATTGCCCTCCGCTCGCTCAACCCAGTAAATTGGGGAAGAAGTGTTTTTTAGTTTTGGGCGGCACTGTTGAACACTTCTTTGTCTTTCAGCTGCCCGGCCACGTGCAAAACACTTCTAGCCACCCACCCGCCAACACACAAGCAAGTTAACAGAGCCCGGCTTAGGGCTTAGGGCTTAGGGCTTAGGGCTGAGGGTTGAAGGGTTTAGGGTTGAAGGGTTTAAAGGATTCGGGGTTTAGGGTTGTAGAGTTTGGGACCAAGTTCGACGATTAACGGTTGGCATGGCCACAGGCATGGCTGGGTATGGGAAAGGGAAATGCAACCTGTAGATGTGCAACCTGTTGGCCACCGGCTCAGCTCTCTGTTTAGGGTTTAGATTTAAAGTTTCCTGGTGCAGGGCGTGCGAGTCACCCTAAACCCTCAACCCTAAACCCTAAACCCTAAACCCTAAACCCTAAACCCTAAACCCTAAACCCTAAACCCTAAACCCTGTTGCAAGCCAAACGCCTGATCGCCTCACTTCTACTTTGACTCAGGGGCGAGCGCAGACATTCACCCCAAACCCTAAGCCCCAAGCCCGAAACCCCCAAGCCCCTAAGCCCTAAACCCCTAAGCCAATAAGCCCTAAACCCTAAGCCCTGAACCTTAAGCCCTAAACCCCAGCTCCCTGCACCCTAACTCCTAAACCAGCATCCGCGACGATGCGCTAGCCACCACTCCGACAGCCGAACCTGCAACTCTTGACCGGCCGGCGGATTATTAGGCACAACCTTAGCAGAGGTGTGAAAACCATGAATGTACCTACCCTCTACAACTGCAAGCCTGACAAGATTATGGTTTCGTGGGTCAGCCGAGCGGCGTTTCGAACCTGTCGATTCCTGTCCACAGTTGGATGCAGGCACCAAATCCCTGAAGAACCCAAGCCGCTTGCTAGGATGCCCCCCATCACATGTGGATTCAGGGGGACTGGAGGGGGTTCTGTGAATTGCCCCGACCCCACAAATGAACCCTCCTCAGGCCGGGTCTATCGTTCGCCCACGGACGCGACCCAAGCACGCCAGAGCAAAGCCAGAAGCCCCAACCCGCCAGGAAACCGAACCCGAACAAAGCAACCCACCCCCAAATCACCCCGAAACAAAACCCGAGCCCTGGGTAAGAACAAGCCCTGACAGAGGAGATTGGGCCCCCCAAAGCCAGTAACTAAACCCTGAGTTTGGGATGTTCGCCCTTATACCAACAGTCCTGAATAGGGTTTATATTGGGGGTCGTATCATCCATAAAACGGCTGTTAGCTAAATGCCTGTGCTTGCCTGTGAATGCGTGCCCCTGCTTCTGCAGGCGCATTGTGTTCAGTCTGTCGCTCACCTCTTTGCACCTCGGCTGATAAGCAGCCGTGTGGGTTTCGGGGCATCTAGATTCTGGAGTGACTGCTGCAGTACCATTATAGATTTAGGGACCTAAGCCCTAAACCCCAAGAACCTATTTTGGGGCTGGTGGAAAAACCCTAAACCCCCAAGAACCTTTTGGGGCTGGTGAAGCACCATATAGTGGTATTACACAGAAGACCTAAGGAAGCAATGAGAAGAACGGAACACCCACAATTTAGGTTTTACGTTTATGGTCAGAGGACCGCTTAACTTTACGGGTTTAGGGTACCCTAACCACTGTGCCCTGACCACTGGCGCCGAATGACCGAGATTTGAACAACACTGGTCGCAGGTTGGCCGAATTTTCATTCAGGGTTGAGGTATCTATTCTATATATATATATGCATATCTATATATCAGATTTAGGGTTTAGGGGTATGAGGTCTAAGGTTTCGGGAGCGCCTACAAACCCCAGGGTCTATTTGCGCCGAGAGGTTGGAGAGTTCACACACCCCTTTACGATACATAAACCCTGAACCCTAAACAGTGTCACAAGTCTCCCACGCCATGCCTACTTCTGAGGGTGGCGCAAAACTCCAAACCCTAACCCCTAAACCCTAAGCCCGAAACACCCTGAAGGCTCCAAACCCATTATACAAACCACGCACTGAACCCTCCACCTTTTGGCATCAAGTTGCACGAACTCCAGAAGCAGCTGGAACCTACACAAAGGAGCTTGAGGTTAGGGTTTGGGGTTTAGAGTTTAGGGTTTAGGGTTTAGGGTTTAGGGTTCTTTAGAACGCAAAGCGGCGAGACTTAGGGTTTAGGGTTGTTAATGCTATGGGCTAAGGATCTTCGGGTTGAAAGGATCTTCCGGTGATCGTTTCTAGGTTTTCTGGGTGCCGATTTGAACTGTTTTCATGCATTTCATAGGATCCTGTTTGCACGCAACTGTTAGGGCTGCTTGAAAGGTATACCTAAACTTTAGGAATTAGGATGACCTGCGCCGAATCCTGCGATTGTCCCTTTGAGTTGCAGGGCAGGAGTGTTGCACTTTGTGAAAGCGCTTCGAACTTGACAGAGTTGGTGGCTATGTACGCAACTTGGAGGTATTTCGAGGTCAGTTGCTGAAGTCTCGTGCACTGGGACGTGCTGCAACACTGCAAGGAACACATAACAGTATCCCAGGCCCTAAATTTCGATCCACTCCCAGACGTTTTGAGTTGCGGGGTGGCTTCAGGAAGCCTCAAGAAGCATTGGCCAGGGGGTCACGAAGCCGCCAAAGACCCCCAAACCCTAAACACTACACCCGTAAAACCCGACTCCCCAACCCTGAAAGGGCCCCCTACCCTGAAAGGACCCCCTCCGAGCCCCAAAATAAACGAAACTCAGCCTCAGAACACATCGTCATACACACAAACGGACCTCACTAGCAAGGTTCAAAAAAACAACAAAATCCTGCACCCTAAACCCTAAACCCTAAACGAGGCCCCAAACTCTAAACCCTAAACCCCTTCAGGACCGACGGCCTAGAGGGTGTGAGAGCTGTCGGGGTTAAGGGATGTTGCGCTTTGGGCTCTGAGAACGGGGCTACACTCTCAAACTCTGAACTCCCAAAAACCTTTAGGGTTTAGGGTTTAGGGTTCAGGGTGGTTGTAACACTTAATTTCTCTCCGCGCTGCTCAAAAGCTCCGTCGGGAATCCCAGCGATCGGAGGCGCGGGGATAGCGCCTGCTGACAAGCGGTCGTTGTTTTGTGGTAGGGAATCAAGGGATGCAGACTCGTACCCTTAAGGTTGTATGCCTAAAGTTGTTGGGTTTTGGGGTCCTTTTCAGGATCCCTAAGGGAATATAAGGGCCATTTTAGGAGGATATCAAGGGGGACCTTTAAGGGTCCAAGGTAGAACCCCTAGAGGGAAGAACGCTAGGATTGTCAACTATGGCCAACAAGGATCACAATCAGCGGTCTACAACTACAACCACAAGGGAGGCTCCCCAAACCCAAAGACCGAAACCCCAAACCCAGATTGGTATCCTGTGTGAGTGCGGTTTCTGGGTCGGTTGGCACATCCGCACCAGGGAAGCCTCCGTGGAACCGGCTTGGCACACTCTGTGGCGGAGCCATGTCGTCATTCGATTGGATCACCCGGCATATACCTGGAGTGGGTGAAGGCATCAAGGTTCAGAACCCTAACCCTGAACCAAGCCCTAAACCCTATTAAATTAGCCCTCAGCCCTAAACCCTCAAACCCTAAGTACGGGACCTTAAACTCTAAAACCCTGCCATGCTGCTCAGGCGGTCGATCGGAATGATCTGCTCACCCACAACTGCGTTGAAACATCTCTCTTCCTGCTCAGGGCTCACAGCTTTACTTTGAGGATCTGAAATACACGTACCTGAACCCTAAGCCCTGAGCCCTAAGCCCTAAACCCTAAACCCTAAACCCTGAACCCTAAACCCTAAACCCTAATTAAACCCTAAGGTACCATCACATTCCTGCCAAGTTAGCTCGACCCATGCACGTCAGCGCCGCCAGGCTCCACCCCCCGCCGCCCCCCAGTCGCATCTCGCCCTGTATAGGTGGTGGTAGGGTTTAGGGTTTGGGGTTTGGGGTTTGGGGTTTTGGGTTTAGGGTTTAGGGTTTGAGGTTTAGGGCCCAAAACCCAAAACCCAAAACCCAAAACGAAAACCCTAAACCCTAAACCCCAAACCCCGCACCCCTCCTGGTTGTAGCCCGCAAGGCAAACGGGTTGGCGCGCGTAGTGCTGAAAGGCGTCCGGGAGATGCCACTGCTGGCCTAGCCTCTGGGTTTAGGGTTTAGGGTTTAGGGATATTAGGGTTTAGGGTTTGGGGTTTAGGGAAGCATAGGGTTTAGGTGTAGGGGGTTTGGGGCCTGTAAGGTGTGGAGACTTTACGGGGCTTATCTGTATGGTTTAGATGATTGAGGATTTGGGCGTTGATAGGGTTCAGGACATATTGCCTACTGGTTCTTAGTAGGGACTTCACTTCACGGGCCTCTTGCGTAGCCAAGTCTTAGTAGGGAATGAGGGAAAACCCCCCAAACCCTAAACCCTGCAGCATCCAAGGGTACATATGGGATGATCTGGGGTACCAAATTTCCTCATTCCTAGGGTGGTAGGTCTTCTGCGCCCTAACCCAAAACCAGCACCCTCCTAGCCCTGAACTGGGTTTAGATTTAGGGCTTAGGGCTTAGGGCTTAGGGCTTAGGGCTTAGGGCTTAGGGCTTAGGGCTTAGGGCTTAGGGCTTAGGGTTTAGGGTTATGGGTTTAGGGTTTAGGGTTTAGGGTTCAGGGCTTATACTGGAGTCTGGAGTGTAAGCTTTAGAGACCTTTCTTCTTTGGGGGTTCACCACTTGGTTCGCGGGGGCTCCTTGAGCTCCAGGAGTTTGTGAGATTTAGGGTTTAGGGTTTAGGGTTTAGGGTTTAGGGTTTGAGGGCTTGGTGTAGAAAGTTCTGGCCAATACTTTACGTGGACCCCTTTGAGAAAACCCTCGACCCTAAACCCTAATATCCCTAAACCCTAACATCCCTGAACCCTAATCCCTAAACCCTAAACCCTGAACCCTGATCCCTAGTCCGAGGCGCTCCACAAGACTGGTCTCCAAAAGGCGACCGTGAACTTCGCGCGGGCCTTGTACGGCCTGGCCCGAGGTAGGGTTTAGGGTTGAGGGTTTAGGGTTTAAGGCTTAGGGTTTAGGGTTGAGGGTTTAGGGTTTAGGGTTGAGGGTTTAGGGTTTAAGGCTTAGGGTTTAGGGTTCTTTATGCTGCCGGCTCCAGGGTGTTCTGCCAGGCCCCTGCTAGGGCTGAAGGGCGCTTTAAGGTTCAGGGTATAGGGGTTGCGGGTTGAGGGTTTAGGGTTCAGGGTATAGGGTCTTAGGGAGTCTCAACTCTCTCACAGAGCTGTGGGGGGATGAGGTTAAGCAGAACCCCTAAACCCTAAACCCTAAACCCTCAACCCTAAACCCTAAACCCTAAACCCTACTTGAACCCCGAGTCCCAAATCTGCCTAAGCCCTAGACCGCACCCAGATGTTTGCACCTTGTCTTCGTGTGGTACCCTTCTATTGGAATTGGGTCCGATAGGGTTTAGGGTTTAGGGTTTAGGGTTTAGGGTTTAGGGTTTAGGGTTTAGGGTTTAGGGTTTAGGGTTTAGGGTTTAGGGTTTAGGGTTTAGGGTTTAGGGTTTAATTAGGATTTAGGGTTTAGGGTTTAGGGTTTAGGGTTTAGGGTTTAGGGTTTAGGGTGTCGGCTACAAGTACAAGCCTCAACCACAATGATAGAACAAGGCGCCACACACCATCACAGTAAATATCTGTTTTTTGCCAACCCAATTGTGCAAGGTTGCTTTGAGTTGACACTGTGTGTCAAACCACGATTCGACACCAAACCATCAAGCTCAAACCTCAAACACAGAACTAAACTTTAAACCCTAAACCCTCAACCCTAAACCCGAAGCCCTAAACACTAAACCCTAAACCCTAGACCCTAAACACTAAACCTCTAAACCCTATTTTTTGAAAGAAAACTCAGCGAAGCTGTACTGTTTAGGGGACTAGGATCTACGTCTCAACACCCTAAGCAACCCTAACCCTAAACCCTAAACCCTAAACCCTAAACCCTAAACCCTAAACCCTAAACCCTAAGCCCTAAGCCCTAAGCCCTAAGCCCTCAGTTCAAGAAATGCCGGCGGGCGTACCGCCCACAGGCCCTGGTGGCAAACCAGGTGAACCCGGGGCCAGTTCTCAGCAACCTGCGGGTGCAGGGTTTAGGGTTTAGGGTTTAGGGTTTAGGGTTTAGGGTTTAGGGTTTAGGGTTTAGGCATTAAGGTTTAGGGTTTAGATGGGTTTCGGGCATGAAGGCTTAAGAAGCCCGGGGTTTAGTGCTTAGGGGTTCAGTAGGGGTTTAGGGTTCAGGGTTCTAGGGGAGTTTTCGGGTTTAGGGGGCAGGGCTTTAGAAGGCATAGGAACGAGTCATGGGCTTAAGGTAGAGGAATTTAGGCGCAACAAAAAGGTTGGACAAGGCACCTGCATGCCAGGAATCCATATGGCTTCCGAATGCTTCAGGATCGTGATTCGGACCTCCAGGGACACGACTCCCCGACAGCCAAAAAGGAGCTTCCCAGTATGGACTGAAGGTAACCGAAGCCCTAGCAGTGGGATCTTTTTCGGGCAGTTGACTCCATCGTAAACGCTCTTTTTGGGGTTTAGGGTTTAGGGTATAGTAGGGTTTAGGGTTTAGGGTTTAGGGTTTAGGGTTTAGGGTTTAGGGTTTAGGGTTTAGGGTTTAGGGTTTAGGGGTTTAGGGGTTTAGGGGTTTAGGGGTTTAGGGGTTTAGGGGTTTAGGGTACCCTAAACCCTAAACCCACAAACCATAGTATGAGTGGATCTGCTGTGCTACTTACCGACTGGCCGTTCCCCAATGGGCTTCAGGGTTAACGGGTTAGGGTTTAAGGTTTAGGGGTTTACTACTCTTTGCTTCTGACCCCCCAAAAAAACTCGTATTCTTCCTTATGAGGGCAAGATAGGGGTTATTATTCTTTATGTTTTTGGTAGTTCTTAAGCAAATAGTAGCTTAAGGCTTCGGATTTCGAGGTTTCCCAAACTCAAGAAAAACCCTTTTGGCTTTGTAAGCGAACCTCAGCCCATCAACAAATCGAACGGAGGTTTCGGGGTTGGGGCTTAGGGCTCAGGGTCTCGGATTTTCTGGGTTTGAGGCTTTCGGGTTGATGGCTCGGGGTAGAGATTCTGCTCGATGCAACCCGAAACGGCCTTATACCTGAGCGCAAGGAAATGCAGGTCCACCAAGTCCATCGGCATCCGAACGACGCGGTGGTCTTCCAGATTCCGGTATTCCTGACAACGCAGACAAGACCCTGGCAACCTTTCAAGCCCAGAGCCCTAACCCAAGACCCTAGACCCTAGACCCTAGACCCTAACTCCTAAACCCTAAACCCTAAACCCTAAACCCTAAACCCTAAACCCTGAACCCTGAACCCTGAACCCTAAACGCGCACGTGAACCCTGAATGCCAGGCTGCTTGCCCGATGGTAAAGTGGCTGCTGTGATGCGACAGGCAGTAGAGGTACCTGAGGGGCATCGGTGACGTTGGTCCTTTGGGGGGTTTAGGGTTTAGGGTTTAGGGTTTAGGGTTTAGGGTTTAGGGTTTAGGGTTTAGGGTTTAGGGTTTAGGGACGGGAATAAGGAGGGACCCCTAGAATGGACCCTTAATCTTACTTCCCTAGATGTACCTAAGTACCCTTGAATAACCCCTAAGGTCCCGGGTCCCGTTCAACACTGAATCCCTAAACCATAAACACCAAAATCTACTGGGCAACTACGCAAAAATATGTGTGGGCCCATGAAAGAAGCATGTGGGTACGGGTATATTGTGTAAAAGCAGAGGCTGTCAAACCAAACCCAAGAAACTACCAAAACTTAAGCCCAAACCCCTAAACCCGAAGCGCTCTACCCTGGCCCTACATTCTCCCCATCCCTTTGCAAGGGCTCAGGATTTGCATTTAGGCTGGCGAGCTGCAGGAGACACCCCAACCACACTAGATCTGGACATATCGAGACCTTCCACCGGATGCAGGGAGCTGAGAACTTTTGGGGTTTAGGATTAGGGGTTTAGGGTTTATTTAGGCTTAAGGTTTAGTTTGTTGGTTTCATGATTTCAGAGTACAACGTCCGTCGTCCAACAAATAATGTCTAAGCGACCTATCTGTCTATGAGAGAATGAGAATGCCCCAAACCCTAAACCCTGAACCCCAAACGCTAAACCCAAGACCCTAAACCCTAATAACCCTGACACCTGAAACGCTCGAGTTGCCACGTGCAGGCGGGGCGCCATTTCCAGTGCCGCTTGATGGCGTCGGTGTCCGGATAGTAGCCCATCCCTGGGAATCTATCGTGCCCAGTGTGCCCAGTCAGCGGTACTCATGTGGAGTTAGGGTTGATGGTTTAACACTGAGCCTTTGGATTTAGGATGTAGGATGCCACAACAAGTACCTGGAGGGCGTGTGGAGGCCCGGGCAGGGGGGTGGGGGGGAACAAATTCCATAGCACGAGATCCGACTGAAGCCTCTAGCCCGACACTCTTAGCCACCCAGACCTTACAAGCGCTAAAGCCCCAAACCCTATAAACCCTCAATGCCTAAACCCTACAGCCCTAAACCCCATAAACCCCGAAGCCCTAAATCCTAGAACCACACCCCGAGATCCAAAATCCTAAATCCCTAAACCCTATAAACCCTAGCTGAAACCCCCTAAACCCTAAACACCTTATAAACCCTGAAAACCCTGAAACCCTATAAACCCTCTGTACCCTAAACCCTACAAGCCCTATAAACCCCATAAACCCTACACCCTACATCCCCAAATCCTACCACATCTCTAAACCCTATCAACCCTGGAAGCACCAAACCCTAAACTAATAAACCTTCAACCCTAAATCCCTAAACTCTAACCGCCAAACCGTAAACTAAAAACCCTGAATCCCTAAACCCTAACTCCCTGAACCCTAAACCCCCAAACCCTAAACCCCGAACCCTGCATCCCTAAACCGTAAGCCCCAACCCTAAACCCTAGTCCCTATGAACCCAACAAAACCCTATAAAACCCCGTAAAACCCTACCAAACCCTATTTAAAAAAACAAAAAAAAACGACAAAACCCTAAAATGCCCTATGTACCCCTATAAAGCTCTACAAAACCCTAACAAAATCCCTATAAAACCCGACATGGCCCTAACAAAGCTCCTAAAAAACAAGGCCTAAACCCTAAACACCCTATAAACCCTAAAACCCTAAACCCTAAAACCCTAAAACCCTAAAACCCTAAAACCCTAAAACCCTAAAACCCTAAAACCCTAAAACCCTAAAACCCTAAAACCTTAAAACCCTAAAACCCTAAAACCCTAAAACCCTAAAACCCTAAAACCCTAAAACCCTAAAACCCTAAAACCCTAAAACCCTAAAACCCTAAAACCCTAAAACCCTAAAACCCTAAAACCCTAAATCCCTAAAACCCTAAAGCCCTAAAACCCTAAACCCTAAACCCTAAACCCTAAAAACCTAAACCCTAAACCCTAAACCCTAAACCCTAAACCCTAAACCCTAGACCCTAAACCCTAAACCCTAAACCCTAAACCCTAAACCCTAAACCCTAAACCCTAAACCCTAAACCAAACCCCAGAGTCGGCCAAGGCGCGGAAGATGGAGCTTTCGTCTGCCAGCTTCGCTGCCATCAGCGCGTTCCTGGGCGTCCGGAAGTAAGGCTTCTTGCTTGAGGGTTGAGGGTTGAGGGTTGAGGGTTGAGGGTTGAGGGTTGAGGGTTTAGGGTTTAGGGTTTAGGGTTTAGGGCTTAGGGTTTAGGGTTTCGGGTTTAGGGTTTAGGGCTTAAGGCTTGGGGCTTGGGGCTTCGGGTTTGGCACCGTGGTTTGGGTTTAGAGTTTGGGGTTTTGGGTTTTTGGGTTTCGGTCTCTCAAGGAACCAGCCTGCTCAGGGCTTAGGGTAAGGGTTCCCTACAGTTCGCCCCAAAAAGCACCCGAATGCAACAACCATCATGCCCATAAGGGTTTAGGGTTTAGGCTTTAGGGTTTTAAGGTTTAGGGACCCGACTGAAGCAGGCTACAAACCTTCTGATACGTACTTGTAGTACTTTGTTGGAGGTCTTTGAGGGCTCCCAGATACTATTGGACCAGGTGGAGCCAACCCCCGTTGGACAGTCCAGAATTACAGACTTAAGTGATGAAATATTCGCAGCCCCTTGTACTATTCTACCCTGTTAATGTAGGGGGACGGGGGTGGGGGCGTGGGGGGCTATATGGCCTAACCGAAAGGTTGGGCCCAGAAAAGTGCAAAAGCTCTAGTAGGGGAGGGGGGAAAAGGTGTAGAGCATAGGGCTTATCATCCCGTAGCCCTGTTCCGTATACGAACAGTCCTTAGTAGGGACTATAGTACCACCCCCATTATAATCCCCCTTAAGGACTGTTAGTATCAGGGGAGCCTAAACCCTAACCCTAAACCCTAAACCCTAAACCCTAAACCCTAAACCCTAAACCCTAAACCCTAAACCGCATATATAAGGGGAAACATCCCAAACACACACCCCAGAGCCCTGTAAGTCGCTCCAGGGTTCATCTGCTCTTGATCGGGGTTTGCCTGCATCCTCGCGATGACGCAGCACGTGAAACCCTAAACCCTAAACCCTAAACCCTAAACCCTAAATCCTAGTGGGATTGGGCTTTGCAAGGGCAACATCAGGTGACATTTCGCAACTGGCGGCGTGGGCATTACAGTGCCAAGTGCGCCAGGCGACATGTCGCACCGACTAGGGTTTAGGGTTTAGGGTTTGGGGTTTAAGATTCAGGGTTTAGGGTTTAGGGTTTAGGGTTTAGGGTCTATGGAGTGACTAGAGGTCTCTAGGATGGCTATAGACTAGGATGGCCCTTACAGCCCTTTGACAAATGTTCCTGAATATGATCCTCTTAAGGGTTTAGGGTTTAGGGTTTAGGGTTTAGGGTGATAAGTTAAGGTCTGGGTCTAGGTGGAGATTCCAGGCGGCAATTTCGTCGTGGCAGGGCCTTCTAGACACTGAACATGCTTTGAGGCCCGGCGCCCGCAGCGCACTAGGAATTAAGGCCTGCAGAAGGCCTTAAAAACCCCAAACATCCCAACCTTCGGGTTGAGGGTTTGCTATACTAGCAGTCCTGAATAGGGAGTGTCGTACCCCCTCCATCATAATCCCTACTAAGGACTGTTTAGGGTTTAGGGTTTAGGGTTTAGGGTTTAGGGTTTAGGGTTTAGGGTTTAGGGTTTAGGGTTTAGGGTAGAACGGGGGGGGGGGCATCCCAAGTTTAGGGACATAGAGGCAGGAAGTGGAGTCGCAGCGTCCTCCAATACTGCATGACCAGGGTTCTGCGCATGTCCTCCTCAATCTGAGCCTGCATGCGACTCAGATGGCTTTGGGGTTTAGGGTTTAGGGTTTAGGGTAAAGTTTAGGGTTTAGGGTTTAGGGTTTAGGGTTTAGGGTTTAGGGTTTAGGGTTTAGGGTTTAGGGTTTAGGGTTTAGGGTTTAGGGTTTAGGGTTTAGGGATTTGGGGCTTTAGGGCTTTTGGGCTTCTAGGGCCTTTTAGGTCTTAGAGGTCTTAAAAAGGTCTTAAAGGGCTTTGGCGCTTGCCAATGCCCTCCCAACCCGTCCCCCCCCCCCCCCCCCCCCAAAAAAAAAAAAGGAACAAGTTTGCGGTTACTGAGTATCCTGGCCATGAACACCAAATCCTAAACTGATTTACTTCTAGCTGCTTAAGAACCGCCCCAAAACAAAATCTTCCTTACAAGGGTATATCATGGAGTAATAGTGAGGAACTATTACATTTTTGTTTTGGGGCTCTTAAGCCAATAGTAGATTATAGGACCTGGCCTGCCTCATTCCCTGCGTGCCATCCTTTCAACAACTCTGGGCAATGATTCAAGCATCATAGCAACTTCTGGACTGACTGGAACTCCCGAAGCCCGAAACCCTAAACTTAAGATCTGAAACCCTAAGCCTAAAACCCAACATCTCAAACCCGAACTTAGACGCTCCAGTTATAGAATGCAGGAGCTAGGCACCCAAAAATCGTTTTCTGTATGATAGAGCTTTGGGGGCTCTAGGATTTTTATGGGGTTGCATATGGTAATTGATCAACCCAAAATGGTTCCATATTTCCCGCATAAACCCATAGGAAGCCTAAACAATTTCCCAGAAGGACCTTTAGATCAACCCCAAGAATCATACCCTCCCTAAACCCTAAACCCTGAACCCTAAGCCCTAAACCCTAAACCCTAAACCCTCAACCCTAAACCCTACAATCCTAAACCCGAAGCCCTAAACCCCTATACTCGGTTTTATATCTGGACCGGCTGGCTTCTCTGTAGCTTAAGTCGTTGAGAACTGGCTTCGGGTTTAGGGTTTGGGGTTTAGGGTTCAGGGTTCAGGGTTCAGGGTTCAGGGTTTAGGGTTTAGGGTTTAGGGTTGAGGGCTTAGGGCTGACAGTTTAGGGTTTAGGGTTTAGCCTACACACACCCACCAACGCGCACCGGCGAATGGTTCAGCAGGCTGGGCAGCGTAGTACGAAGGGCTGTGGCAAGCGACTGACCGGCAGGCAGGGCTTTGGGTTTAGGGGTTTAGGGATTTAGGGTTTAGAGGGTTTATAGGGTTTAGAGGGTTTAGAGGGTTTATAGGGTTCAGGGGTTTATAGGGTTTTTAGGGTTTAGGGGTGTTAGGGGTGTGGGCAAAGGGAATAAGGGTAGTACTGGGCATCCTAGATATTCAGTGGGGTGTAGGGTCCGACACAAAGGGTTGTCCTACCTGAACCCCAGTAACTTTAGTAAGCAGACGCGACGGAGACAGACCCTGACCTCCCTTTACACCTGCAAACACGCCAGAAACACGAAGATAAAGACACGCGAAACAGGGTTACACGAAAATAAACAGCCATGCTTCGGCACCCCCTCCCTCCGTCGCGCCGCCAAAGCTCCAAAGCATACCCTCAGAACTTTGAGGGTTTAGGGTGTAGGGTTTAGGGTTTAAGGTTTGGGGTCTTGATCGTCGTGATAATAATCTTCACCCTGGTGGTCTGGACCCTGCTTAACGAATCAAGGATTCCCCTTGAAACAATACTGCACAGTAAGCCCTTCTGGAGAATTCCAAAAAAATCTCTGACCTCTATAAACCAGAAAACCCTTAAACCCAAAACCCTGCACATCCGTCCCCGTCCTGCCATGGGCATCCTTCAGGAATGCTGTCCTGTGGCACAGAGGACGCAGTTCCAGAGCATGATGCAGGAGCCTAGAGAATTAACATCCCCGCATAATGCGTCTGTGTTCTGTATACTCTAGCTGCCCAACATGGTAAACCACGCGCCCTGAGAGCTAAAGCCCAGCATACTTTGATTCGCCTCTGTGAGATTTAACATGTGGGTGGTTCTCAAAATTATGGTCCCTTTGGAGTACCCTGAATATGAGGTGCCGTATTATAATAGGGATCCAAGAAGGGACGATCATTTCGACAACCACCCATGTGCAGATGCTCGGAGGGCTGGAGCCCGGCCTGTCCGGCCTATTGAGTAAAATATGAAAATATGTGTTTCGGCATCTTGTTCCCTAAGCCCTAAACCCTAAAAATCCTACACCCTAAACCCTGATACTTCCCAAGCGTGAGCTGCTAGGCCCAAGAGTAACCTAGGAATAACAACGGTATGCCTTTTTCGGTCTTTAAGGGGTATCAGGAGGGACCCCTAGAAGCGACCCTTAATATTATTCCCCTGTATACCCCCTATGTATATAATATGTTATATAGTCCCTATATACCTAAGTAGCCCCAAAAAAGTCCCTAAAGGTTTTCAGGGTCTTAATTACAAGGGAATTGTAACCCTAACATTGGGAGAAAGGGCCTACTCTGAGAGCAACCCCCTTGAAATTGAGGTTTAGACTAAGGTGCTAGAGGGTTTCCTTTTTATTTGGTCGCTCTGCTTTCGCGTTGTGCGTCTAGGGGTTGCGGCTTCGGGCCTAAACCCTAAACCCTAAACTGGCCCTAAACCCGAAACCTTTCCAACGGCCGGGCCTACCAAAAGTCCTAATTACGGGTGTCGGGCTTTGAAACGCCGAACTTGCTGGTTGCTTTGTCGGGATTAGGGAATTAGGTCATTACCCTGTATCCCTTTATAGGGTGTACATGTACCGGGATAGAGGGTACCGAATCTCTGAAGAACCAGTAGCAAGTAAGCCCTGCAAACCCTAAACTCTAAACCCTAAACCCTAAACCCTAAACCCTAAACCCTAAACCCTAAACCCTAAACCCCAAGCCTGCACATCTCGGTGCAGCGTGTCGGATACCCATCTCTTCCTTGGCGGCCGCAGGCCCATGTGGTTCGAGGACTCAGGGGTTCATAGGGGTGCGCCAAAGTGAACAAAAAGAAGCTTTCGGGTTCGGGTTGAGGGTCTATAGGGTCTAACAACAGCATCACCTAACTTTCGGGAAGTGCACGCCGGGCGTCACAAGGTCAAAGGCAATATCCCTGTCGACATTCTTCAGCTCCATGAATGCACGGATCGCACGGAAATTGAGGCCTAAAGTTAAGCTCTAAAAAAGCAAACTTTGATCCCCTCGCCAAGTGGGGCGATTGCTTCGATTTGGCTTAGGGGTTGGACTGGAGGGTTCATCGGTAGGGGTTCTATACTGGTACTTGCTCTACTTGGAGCCTGGAAGCCTAAACGCGAACCCTGAAACCAAAACCCCATGAGGAGTTTAGGGTTTAGGGTTTAGGGCTAGGGGCCGTCCAGAGGAGTCGTGCTTCCAGCGCTGTTGGGCTTGCTGGTCCACCAACTCTTCGATCAAGTGTCTGGCCTCACTCGACTGAGACAATCGGACCAGCAGTGGGCGCGGCACTATCTCGTCCCTCCAGCCATTCTGCTGCACCAGCAGCATTCCAGGGCTCTTCCACCCCCTTCTTGTTGCGAAGGATGACACAGGGTACTTACTTAGAAGTTAGGATTACGGGGCATCAGGGCCCCTAAAAACGCAGTGCGGCAAGCCTCTATCAGACTCTATCACTCTATCCCTAAACCGGGTTTAGGGTTTACGGTTAGGGTTTAGGGTTTAGGGCTTAGGCGACCCCATCAAGAAACGCTGAAGCCCTGAAAAGCTAGCCACTTGAACCGCAAAGGCCTACGCTCCATAACCCGGAGCCCTAAAATCCTACATTACCACAGCCCCGAGCCCCACCCCAGCCCCAAAACCCTAAAGCCCCAAACCTTATGAAGCTTATGAACCCCCCCTAAAAATCCCGTTTACGGGGTGTACAAAGTTTACAGGTTTATGGGGTCGAAAGCGTTCATCGGGTTTAGGGACGAGGGCGGATTCAACACCTGGAACCCTTCATCCCAAACCTTAGACACGGAGCCCTGCCTGAGTTGGGGTTTAAGGGTCAAGCAAGGCTTACACTTCTTACAATTCCTACTTTAGGAATTGTGGTCCCTAAACTCCAAACCATAGACCTTAAACCCCACGCAGTACACCCCCTAACCCTAAACCCTAAACCACCCTAAACCCTAAACCCTTGGTTTAGGGTTTAGGGTTTAGGGTGGGTTGAGGGGGTCGAGGGTTTAGGGTTTTGGAGAAGTATACGCTTTGCACCTTCAAGTAAGCAAACGCAGAAACCAAGAGTTGACCCAGCTTAGGGTTTAGGAGGTTTCGGGTTTAGGGTTTAGGGTTTAGGGTTTAGGGTTTGGGGTTTAGGGTTTAGGGTTTAGGGTTTGGGGTTTAGGGTTTAGGGCTTAGGATTTGGGGCCTTGGGGTCGACGTGTTGCTCTGCCATACATGCGAACCTCAGCGGCTTCACGGACTTGCGCAGCCAGGCAGGCACCCTAAACCCTAAACCCTAAACCCTAAACCCTAAACCCTAGACCCTGAACCCTGAACCCTGAACCCTAAACCCTAAACCCTAAACCCTAAACCCCAAGCCCAAGTCGTAAACCCCAAACCCTAAGCCCTACATCGTAAACCCTAAGCCCTAAGCCCTGAACCCTAAACCGTAAATCCTAAACCCTAAGCCCCTTGCGAAAGCCTAAAGCCCGCCTCCAACTGGGGACCCGTAAGGGTGATCTGCCTTCTGGAAATCTTGCCAGGGGTTAGGGTTTAGGGGCCAAGGTACTCTAGGACCCTAAACCCTGAAACCCCGATTCTGGAGTCAAGGTCAGAAGTTTTAGGGTTTAGAGGTTGAGGATATTGGGGTTTAGGGTTTGGTTTGGGTTTCGGTCTCTGCAGGTTTAGCGCAGCGCGTTGCATTTCTTTGTTTCCTCGGGTTTGAGGCTCCCTTACAGGCCCGGTGAACAAAACCGGCTCCCTGTTGTTCCTACATTGCTGGGGGTTTAGGGTTTAGGGCTTAGGGTTTAGGGCTTAGGGTGTAGGGTTTAGGGTTTGGGGTGGGGCACGGGTTTGTCGGGTTTGTCGGCTGTGTCGGGTGTGTCGGGTGTGTCGGATGTACAAGTTCAGGTACGTAGACAGGTTCAGGATTTAGGGTTTAGGAGACCAAGAAACTTCAACATGTCCACGAACCTTCGAGAGGGTTACTTTTGAAAATGAGGATTCAGGGTTTTGGACTTTAGAGTTTCGGGTTTAGCGTTGAACCCTAAACCCTAAACCCTAAACCCTAAACCCTAAACCCTGAACCCCAAACCCTAAACCCTAAACCCCAAACCCCAAACCCTAAACCCTACACTAGGTTGTGAAGGTTTCCGGCTTTAGGTTCTAGACTTTAAGGATTTTAGGGTGGTAGGGACGAAGGGTTTCGGGGGCCTTGGGGGCTTCAGGGTTTCGAGCTCCGGAGGCCTTTTAGGGTTTAAGGTTTAGGGTTTCGGGTTTAGGGTTTCGGGTTAGGGTTTAGGGTTTAGGGTTTAGGGTTAGGGTTTAGGGTTTAGGGCTTAGGGCTTAGGGTTTAGGGTTTAGGGTAGCTAGTGCTTGAGTGCTCCGTCCTTGTCACCAGGGTCCAGTCAGTGCTGGCAGAGGGAGAAGGTTTCAACCTCGAGAGGCCCACTACACCCTAACTATTGGGCTTAGGGTTTAGGGCTTCGAAGCCCTAGGCCCTTACAACCTAGAACACTCAAATCCTAAACCCTTAAACCCTTAAACCCTTAAACCCTTAAACCCTTACACCCTTAAACCCTTAAACCCTTAAACCCTTAAACCCTTAAACCCTTAAACCCTTAAACCCTTAAACCCTTAAACCCTTAAACCCCACACCCTTAAACCCTGAAACCCTTAAACCCTTAAACTCTTAAGCCCTTAAACCCCACACCCTCAACCCTTAAACCCCAAACCCCGAAACCCTAAATCCCCTGAACCCTAAACAGGCCGACAACCCAACTTTAGTTGCTCAACCCTCCTGCCAGAGCTCAACTCTCTCAAGCCTCAAGCCCTGTTAAGGTTTAGGGTTAGGGTTTAGGGTTTAGGGTTTAGGCTTTCAGGTTTAGGGTTTAGGGTTTAGGGTTTAAGGTTTAGGGTTTAGGGTTCAGGGTTCAGGGCTTAGGGTTCAGGGCTTAGGGTTTACGGGTTTAGAAAACTTGGGGCCTAGGGATTATAGGGGTTTAGGGTTTAGGGTTTAGGGTTGGGGGATTCCCCCACCCCCCCTCCGACGTGTATAGCATGGTTACTAGGTTCGGGCTTGAGGGCTCAGGGCCTACTTCAAGGATCAAGGGACTTAGTAAGTGGGGTTAGAAGTAAGGTAACTATACTTAAAGTTACTTATAATCCCAATTAAGGTACTTATACTATCCATACTTACTAAGTGCCCCGATCCTCCAAGTGGAGATTCTCCAGAACAGCAGTAGGCTTCATCCCCGCTGGCGGCTCGCATGCAGACGTCGGACGACCGGAGTCGTCCGTCAAGGCCCTCGTCAGACATACTCGCCCCAACGAAAGTGCCCTGCGCCGTCAAACTCAGCGATAGAGCCGTTCTGTTGGACAGACACATACCTCCAATGCGTCGAATGCGTCTTGAGCAAGACTGGTTGGACCAGGTGGTCCACCGTGGCCTGTGTCAAGATGCCGCGCCATCTTGGGTGGTCGAGTGCAACCCGAGCGCCCATGGGGATTATAGCCTAACCCCTAAACCCTAAAGCCTTTAAAAGCCTAAAAGCCTAAAAGCCTAAAAGCCTAAAAGCCTAAAACCCTAAAACCCTAAAACCCTAAAACCCTAAACCCTAAACCCTAAATCCTAGGACAGAAGCTTTACTGGAGGTCCTTGTTCTGGACCAAGCTTTTGGACACAAGGCGAGATAAGAAACTACACTAAGACGGAACCCTAGACCTACACACGAAACAACCCTAAACCCCAAACCCTGAACCCTATAAACCCCGAGCACACCATACCCTAAACACAAAACCCCAAATCCGAAACCCCAAACCTGAAAGCCCGAACCCCAAAGCCTAACCCAAAACCCTAAAGCCCGAACCCTAAAGCCCGAACCCCAAACCCTAACCCCAAACCCTAAACCCCAAACCTCAAAACCCAAACCCAAAACCCTGATCCTAAACAACCCTATAACCCCCAAACCCCAAACCCTAAACCCCAAAACGCCAAACCCCAAACCCCAAACCCTAAACCCCAAACCCTAAACCCCCGAACCCTAAACCCCAAACCCGAAGCCCCAAACCCTAAATCCCAAACCCTAAGGCCCCAAGCCCTGAAACCCTAAACCCAAACCACGAACCCCAAACTCTAAACCCCAAACCCCAATCCCCAAGCCCCAAGCCCCAAACCCTAAACCCCAACCCCTAAACCCCAAACCCTAACCCCTAAACCTAAACCCCAAACCCCAAACCCAAAACCCCTAACCCTAACCCCCAAACCCTAAACCCTAAACCCCTAACCATAAACCCTAAACCCTCAACCCCCAAAACCCCTAAACCCCTAAACCCTACACCCTACACCCTAAAACCTAAACCCCAAACCCAAAACCCCTAACCCTAACCCCCAAACCCCAAACCCCAAACCCGCAAACCCTAAACCCTAAACCCTAAACCCTAAACCCTAAACCCCAAACCTGCTCTGCAACGCCCCGAGCGCCCCGACTCCCTCTGGCAGCCTGGGCTCCGCGGCGATGGAGTACGTGGGTACACCTGCAGAGGGCTTTTTAGGGTTTAGGGTTTAGGGCTAGGGGTTAGGGTTTAGGGTTCAGGGTTTACGATGTAGGGCTTAGGGTTTAGGGCTTAGGGCTTAGGGTTTAGGGTTTAGGGGCTATAGGGTTCAGGGTTCAGGGTTTCTAAACCCTAGACCCTGCCGTCAGGGCCGTGCACCCTAACCACTCTGAACCCTGTACCCTACTTGGAGGTTCAGGGCACTTGTAACCCCAATTATAACTGTACTTAGAAGCCCCCCAAGGCCCCTAAGTCCGGCTACAAGTACCCATGAACCTCCAAGTAAGCCCTTGACCTCAAACCCCAAGACCTTAAACCCCAAAACCTTAAACCCCAAAACTTGGGGCGCCCCCCCCCCCCCCTTTTTATACTAACAGTCCTGAATAGGGATTATAGTACCCCCT